CTGGGCCTTCATCTCTGACACCTCGTCAACGCCGCGTCCGCTCGCTGTCCCTTATTCCTTCTATCGCCGTTGCTTCGCCTGGTCTTCCACCTTCCGCCCATTCTCAGGAGGAGGAGGAGGAGGTTATCGACGAGCTTGTTGACGAGGAGTAGGTGCGCTTGTTTTTACGGACTCTTTTACTTGGCATGCATTCGGACATCTTAGTTTTTTGGACTTTCTATATCAACCTTTTTGTGTCATCATCTTTTGTAGTTAGATTCTGCTGTCCTTATAGTAGAATCTTGACTTTGTCTTTCTTGAACTTTGAGATTTGTTCCTAAGTGAGAGCCTTTTTGCATGCTTTCTAGAGTGTGAACTTGTGAATTTTCGACTTTATTTCGCATTTTTCTATCAAATTCATTCTGCCTTAGGGTTTTATTGTCTCTAGTTCGCGTTTTTATGACTCTTTTCCCCTTGGTGGTTTTAGTGAATCATGAAATCGAATTTTTTATCTATCAAGGTAGCCTTGATCCCTCCCCCTCACTAAATATTGACTGTCCTCAGTCAAAACGACTAAGTTCATAGGTCACGTGGCGCGGGAAATCCAAGGCTCGGAAAGTTTATTCTATTTTTAGACGTGATCGTGCTGGAACGCGCAACTCCAAATTTTTCATGCTTCAAGTGAATTGCAACGCGGAATTTCGGAACGCGCATGCCTTGGTCTCAGACACACATATAAAAGCAGGCAGTGGCGAAAAATTTTCGGACAGAACAGTTTTTTGCTTTTCTACCACGCACTCTCATTTTACCACTCGCTCATTATGTCTATTCCACACAACGCTCTTCCCGCCGCTGTCAAGCTTCGCGAGTCCGCTCTCACTGCCTTCAAAACTTATCAGGACATGAAAGAGGGACTGAACAGCGCTGCCGCTCCCACCATTCTTGGCGTAGCCGCTAATTACTGTGTAAGTCGTGAATTTTTCTGTTATAAACTTTGTATTCTCTATTTCTTCGAACAAAGGCTAATACTGCGCACTTGACTAGGTTCAGCTTATCGACACCAAGGATCCGTGTCTGCTTATGCACCAGCCAATGCACAACGTGCTTTTCCTTGTTAGAGGCGAGTACAATACCCGCAGCACTGGAGTTCACGCCATCGCGCCCCCAGCCGACCTCGACACTATCAAAGAATATTGTCGCACCGTTCTCGCCGCGCGCGCCGCTGCGCAGGTCGTTCCACCACCTGTTACTGCTCAAGCTCAGGCTCAGGCTGAGATTGCAGAGGTAATGGCCGCCGCTAAAGCCAAGGCACGTTTATACTTATTTTGTTCATCTTTTCTCATTTTATTAACGCAGCGCGGACACATTTTGAAACAGCGTCCCCGCAAGCTTGTCAAGTCCAAGGCTGTCGTTGAGGACAAGGATGACGAGGTCGAGATTGTCCCCGGCCCC